CCGCAAAACACTTATTTTAGGCTTACCAGTTGACACGCAGTCATTAATGTTAAATCCTACTCCAATTATGTTTGTAATTCAAGCATTCCAGTTATTAAACCTGAGAAAAGATCTTACAAGTGAGTAAAGAAAATTAGGGAAATGCCATATATGTCAAGTCGTGGCCTAATGGTTAGAGAGTCGGGCTCATAACCCAAAGGTTGTGGGTTCGAGTCTCGTACCGGCAGGGATTGTAGGTGGGGGGAGTGAATGTACAGCGCTCTCTCCCACCTTCAATACCACGACTGAGGTGCCCTTGAGCAAGGCACCGAACCCCCAACTGCTCCCCGGGTGCCGCAGCAGGGGCTGCCCACTGCTCTGGGTGTGTGTTCACGGTTTGTGTGTGTTCACTGCTGTGTGTGTGCACTTTGGATGGGTAAATGCAGAGCACTAATTCCAAGTATGGGTCACCATACTTGGCCACATGTCACGTCACGTCACTTCACTTCACTATACACAAGAAGTTGACTTTTTGCAAAAGGACATTTTTATTTATAACCTATTCACACCACTAGCGGGAAGTACAGAGTCATAAGGTACTGTAAATATTTTTAGAGAACACATACTCCCTTTGTGTGCATATTTGGGAGCCTGTGTTCAAATGTTCAGTGATCTGTCTAGTCAGTGGTGTTCTGCTCGCTCTTAAACCCTTCATTGAAAGCTTAGCAAAACCCCTAAATGTAACATTTCCACAACAAACACTGCTTCTTCTGTGTCTTCAATGGCCCTCTGCTGATGGAAAATAACTCAGCGACCTCCCTGTATACAAATATAATGTTTGGTAATGATGATATTGAAAAACAAGGCTATAGTTAAAGGTTGTTTCATGTCATTATGTAGTAGCGGTTACTGAATGTAGGTCAATGAAGTAATGACGCGCAGTACCGTCTGAAGACCGGAAGGGGGCGCCGAGAAACCCAACGAATGGCCTTCAGTGACACTGAGGGCGCCTAAAAAGCTTTTTATTTAAGATATTATTATTTATTTTAAAATTATTTTAAAGGTGTGTTTATTTCATTTAAATATGTTTACATATATTTGCCGTCTCTTTCCTCAACCTCTAACTTTTTGGTGGTCATTTGTATATTTGCATATTGTTTGTTGTAAATATGTCTGTTCAATGCTTTAAAAAAAAAAAAAAGATTAAAAACAGACTGGCGGCGCCATTTTTACTGTTAAAGCAGCACGTCGGAGGAAATGGGAGTCCTGTGAGGCGATAGGTATGGAAAGCCTATGGCAAGCCGTTTTAGCATTAAATACCCCTTGCTGTCTCAATCAGATTTTTAACTAGGAAGATCTTTCTTTAGAGATATCTGCATTTAGCTTTGTGACTAGGAAGAATTTCAATGTAGCTATCTGGAATTAATAATGTGACTAATCTTGTCCGTCATGCATTTATTTGTACTATTTTTCATGTTTTTATTGTATAATTACATTGTTCTTCATTATATCTAAATGTATAATAAATAAATTCAGACGAGCAGTTTGAGGTTTTCTGCCTTTATTGAACATTACACTGCATTTGGTCCGTTTTGCAACATGATTCAATTAAAATCACAGCGCTATACATACATGCACGCTGGAGACCTTTTACCACATATGGCTGCATCCAGATATTATTTAATAACCCCTGAAGCACTTCATCCAGTAGCTTTTCTCTCAGTGACAAGAAAAGCAGACCACTGTTGTTAGCACTTAGCAGTTAGCACTAAACATTAGTCGGGGAGGAACTCTGGGAGGAGCTGAGTAAATTTAGTCTCACGTCACACAACACCACATTCGACTAGGAGCAGGTACAATTCAGATATCTTAAAATATAATTGTGACTAGTCGAAACTGAATTAGAGATATCTCTAATTACCTTTGCGTATGTGTGACGCCCTATTGAAGATA